ATTAAACGTCACTTACTGTTTAATAGCACTGCACTGATCACGAAATTGTGAGGTCAGCCTGAATGACAGAACTTTATTTAGAATATCTACAGTCCGACCCGATTGAGTAGGGGCAATGTTCTCCTTGGATAGTTCCCACTCGAAAGTATCCATTTCAAGCAAGACAAGTAGGTTGCTCCAATCCACATAAAAGAATAGATGATATCGGTTATGAGCGATAAGCTATGCCATGGGTGAATAAAGAATGGTAATAAAAAAGAGGGGCAGGACTTGCCCAGACAAACGGGGAGCAATCAAATGCTGATGCGATAAAATAAATCGTCAATTATTACATGATAAAATAGATATCAATATTATAGAAAACTGTATTTGATTATTAATTAATGCTAATTAGTAATTGTTATTAATAGGGATCATCTGATTGTTTCTATTTATATCAAGAATATTTATTCATTAATGTTCTTTAATTTCAATCACACATTTTTACTTTTGCGCTTTATTTTCACATCTAGATTCGCGTGTATGCGACTGTTCTCACCCTCGCTTCTCGCCTCGCTCACTCGAACGTTCCGACCAAGGATGGTACTTCGAATCTTTTTGTTAAAGCACTTCTTTTATATCCTATAAGCTGTATACCTACTATGCTATGCTTTTAGGTTGAAAACCTAACGTGTGCTGTTGGCCATGCTGTGTCGGAAACATCCATGCCACCACCTCCAGAGTTCATAGAACATAGGATAAAAATTTGGGAAAAGCTTAAACAAGAATATGACGCTTTTGCAGCTAATCAGCCACGAATTCTTATCGCCATAACCCTTGCCGATGGCAATTGCATTCAGGGCACAGCCTGGGAGACCACTCCAACTCAAATTGCCTTAGGTATTCGGTAAGCCAACTGTCAATCTAGAAAATGCCCTATTAAGCTAGAAGAGTGTACAATATTTGTTACAATGTTTGATTTATTTTTGTTAGTAAGTCGCTGGCTGAGTCCTGTGTCATAGCAAAAGTAAACGGTCAATTATGGGATATGGACCGTCCACTTGAGGGTGATTCGACTCTGGAGCTTCTTAAGTTTGATAACAAAGAAGGTATGTTATCACATTTTTGTGCGCACCATTCGGGATTTGACTTTTGACTATCTAACCCTTTGTTTTGCAGGTCAACAAGTATTTTGGCATTCGTCGGCTCATGTGTTAGGAGAGGCCTTAGAGCTCTTCTTCTCTGGCCATTTATGTTATGGGCCCCCAATTGAGGAGGGTTTCTATTATGATATGTGGCATCCAGATTGGTGAGGGAACGTTACTTATAAAGTGCATAATATTGCTTGAATCTTTCTAATAACTTAGTATGCTCTTTTT